TTATTCTGCCATTACCAGAACTGGATCCCAGAAGAGAATCTTTTGTGCTATATTTTACTTATATTACATTCATTCTGTCTGACAAAATGTAAGTTTTAATGGGCCTGTGAGGAGGTATTTATTCACCTTATTTTTCTGTATTGTTTATTGCCAATTCGCTGGTAATCATTGAGACTATTCAGTGGTAATTTCTCATTTAGCTTCCATTTTGATCTCTTGTAGAACACATTTGTTCATGTCACTACCCTGCTTTTTTATAATAAAAACCTTAAAGACTTCTTGGCTTGGAAGTCAAGGTACTTAGCAATCTTGCCCCTACTTACTTTCCGAATTTAATCTCTTGGTATTCCCCTGTTTTTTTAAAAAAAACTCAAGCCATAGCCAGATTCTTTTTATTCCCTAAAACCCTCTGTGCTTTTGTTATAACTCTGTGCCTTTATATTCACACATTCTCCAACCTAGAATGCTTTCACAGTCATACCTGCTGGTAAATTCTTACTCTTCCTTTAAGATACTGCTCAAGCAGTACTTCCTCTCTGAAGCTTCTGCGTTATTCATATCTGTCCATTCCAACAACATTAATAGCTTCCCTTCTCTGCTTTCATAGTACCTTGAAATTACCCATGTTAGCACTTACGCTGTTTTGTAATTTTCTATTTATGCATCTGTTTCCCACACTGGACCAAATTCCTTAAAAACAAGTCACATGTGTTATTTATCTTTGTATACTCCATCACAATGCTGGGTACATCTGAAATTTGTCAGAAGTGTTTGCTGAATTGATGCATAAATAAATGATTCCTAAGCACATTATAGAATTTGCTAGAGTTCCTCCTTAGGGAGAACTTTATATATGCACAAATCCACACAAAACGCTTACTCATTCACTCACATAACCCTTGGCATTTACCCAGAAAGGGGGCCTCTCTAGGATTAGTTCAGGACCATTGCCATAGGCTATGATGGTTAAACTGGCCTTCTTTCCAGACCACCTGGAAAAACTCAGTTTTCTGTATTCTCTTTCAATCGTCTAAATCACAGATCCCTAAGAAAGTTTTTGCCTTGGCAGTTTCTGTTGTTTCCTCATAGACTATCTTTTTTCATCTAACTGAAAGTTTGCCTTTACACAGACTGTGATATGGGAGATGAAGGATGAATTAAACTCAGGGAAATAGAGAGAGCAGGAATTCCTGGAGTAAAGGGGACCAGTGCTTTCCCTTGTTGCCTAGTGTGGTACTGTTGACCTTCCGTTATTTAGGAATGGTGTTGCTGGTAATTAAAGACTCTTAGGCCAGCTGGAAAGCAGTAGTCTCCAAGTATATAGCTGTAGGTCTAGGCTTCTTCCAACTGCTTTCCATGAGAGGACATATTATGAACATTTAACTCACAAATGATTCCTCTGCTATTAAAAGTAAAAGAATCTGCCTCTTAGAATTATGAGCAATTCTCTAGGATAACTCTGGATTCTGACACAGGGCATTGGCTACTTTAGAATGAATTGCCTCCCCCCCCCGCCCCTTTTTAACTTGATGTTATTTCTGAAAATAAATGAGCAGCATGAAGTCACATTTGATATGTAGATTCTTAAGTTAATTATAGCAGAAAGTCAATTTTAGGCTTCAAATATTCAGATTAATAGCATACCTTTTAAAAATAATTCTATATTATTATATAGAGTTTTCCTTATCTGTTTAAAAGGGATTTCCTAACATACAATCTCTTTTTAAATTTCTGAGTTTATACACATATATACAGGCATATGTATTTTTATTACTATAACAATAATTCCCTCACCAGTTTGTTTCATGAAGCAGTTTTGGGAAGTTAAGGGACACTTTCTAAATAACTCTTTTGATGTTAGGACCCCTTTATATTTTCTTAAAATTCTGACTCTGATCATATATCAGATCCAATTTAAAAGTAGTTTCAAAACTTTTGATCTCTCTGGATAAGTCTCTTCTTCTTCCTAAATCTTGGTTCATTAATACAACATTTCTAGTTTTAACTTGGAATGTCCCATTCATTTTGCAGTTGACTCTGCTTGGGAGAGAGAAAAGGAGACAAGAAAAAAAAGATGTGCATACACCCTGGTGTTTTCTATTTTCCCTTTCTTAATTCACATTTTTATACTATGTACTGTGCTTGAATTTCTCAATTTCTGGGTGTATTTCTTGTGAGAATAGAGATCTGCTGTGGAATTAATTCAGTGTCAGTCAGTGTCATGTAAATAATATGTACTATGGGAGGACAGACAAGGTCAGTGTAGGACAGTTGGTAGGGTGGGACCTGAACTCTATACCTTGGAGAGGGTGGAATTTAGTCAGGTAGAAGTGAGTAGGAAGGATATGTTAAGACTACAGTATGGAATGAGAGGGAGAGAGATTGGGTTAGGTTTGGACATGTCTGGGAGTATCAATTGGTATGGAGTAGAAGATCTACTAAAACCAGAGTCTAAAAATCTACGATGATCAGTCTGTAGGAGATTAAAACTGCCTGTTAACAATGAAATACATCTTGTAAGTGAATAAATAAATAGAAGCTGGCTATTTGGTGTTGCTAGAGTTGAAGAAAAGCTATGACAGTAAAAGCAGATCTCAAATGTTAATCACCTGTAGCATAGTAGTTAACTTAGAATAGTATTGAAATGTTTTTGCATCTGACAGTCTCCACAAGCCTGTCTCCTTTTATATGTATGCATGCAAGTATATAAATTGCTGAATTCATGTCAGTTGTAAAGTAATGGCACTGAGGGCATCATAAATTACTATGGTGATCCTCAGGAGAAGACACTGTCGTATCTGAATGAGTGTTTCACTTCCAGAGTAATGTATGCCTTCATCTGGCCCAGCAGTCAGCATATTGCCCTGTGTTGATGGATATTGTCAGCTGGAAGCTACACTACATTTCACTGCACAATAAACATGGCTGTCAAACCCATATAAAGTGAAACCAATTTATCCTGTATGGTCAGTGCATTTTAAATGAAATTAATGTACTGTGGGTATGGTGGCGAAAAGGTAGCATATTAGTTATGCATCTTGGGATCTGAGACTTTTCATGTAAGGGATCATTCTGTCTAGTCGGCCTAAAAGAAAGGCTGTTTATAAAATATTTTATTTTGCATGGTCTTCAGAAAGGGGCCCCTCTGCCCTTCTTCATGTTTAGAAAAAATTGACAGTATTAGCCAGTTCAGCCCTTTTATTCTGTCTTTTGTTTGCAATAAATGATGACCATATTTGCCAAATAATAGTGTACTTTAATGTTCTAATTTATTCCTAGCTCTGACACAAACAAATTTCTACTTCATCAAGGTAGCTAGAAATAGAGTAGAAGGGCAGAGATGGATTGGATCATGTTGTTCCTGTATAATCGCTCCACTGAGCTGAAAGGATTTACTTTTTCCAAAATGTAGAGATGTAGGTTTTAATGCATATTTTGCTTCTAAACTTTTGGGAGTAGGCTTTCCTGTTTATGCAGTAGAAGCCCTGGCTGAGGCCATCAGTCCAACTTTACATTTAACTGTAGGGGTTCTCAATCTATAGGGAGATATATAGTAGTTGCCACCTGCAAAGCACCCATCAGTGTATCATGCTGGTAGGGGGTATGAAAGCAAGCAAGAGCTATGTTCATTCATTGATTCATTTATTCAACCATTCATTAATTGAATGTATTTTACTAACTGAAACTCTGGATGCCATGTGCTTTATTGGAACCTAGGGATACAGCAGTGAAGGAGAACCAGTTCCTGCCATATCCTCAAGAAGGTTTCAATATAGTAGGTTACTATGGTCACTTCTTTGGAAACTATAAAATATCAGGAATTTAGACTTAGTTTCATAGGGGATGTTAAAGAACTACGCTCACACAGCAGAAAAATATATCAGGACCCTTGAAATGACTGCCTTTTAGTCTACTAGTTTTGCATATGAGTTGAAAACTGAACAGTCCTTTACTTAATAAGTATTTGAGTATCTATTACATGGAAAATCCTGGCGATACAAAAATGAGTGCAACATAAACACTAACTTTAGGGGTCTCATATTCCTGGGGATGGAATGGAAATATTAGAGAGAGATAGCCACATAAGCAAGTAATTTCTTTGGAGCATGTAACATTAAAAGAAAGAGGAATGAATGCATCCTGGGAGGCATCATTGCAAATGCCCTTCCTTTGGCTTGAATTACCCTTCCCATCGTCTTTACTGCCCCCCCCATTCACGTGCTAATTCCTATTCATCCTCCAAGACTCAGCTTAGATGTCACCTCTCCTAGGAGGCATTAGCTCACTGTCCCGTCTGCTGGCACCCTCTTGATGCCCTGTTTACTTCAATATTAGAGCACTTACCATACACTCTGTTACAATTGTCTGTTTGGGGTCTGTCTCCTCCCTGAACTGTGAGCTCCTTTAAAAGCAGGTGCTGTTTTATTCACTTTTGTATACCTAGCACCTGGCATAAAGCCTAACTCATAGTAATTGCTCAGTTAATAGTTATCATTGAATTACTGATTAATTCATGCAACACACAACATTTGGATAGGCCTTAAAGAATGAGTGGGATTTAGCATGAAGAAGTAGGAGAAGGGGCTTCCAGGCAGTGAGGGGAGCACTGGCCAAGGCACAGTATTGTGAAAGAGAGTTCTGTTGGGGCTAAGAGATAGTTTGAAGTGGCTACAGTGTTTGGCAAATGAGGCTAAAATGATAGTAAGAGCCTGCTTTGAAGGGAGAAATCATGCAGGAAAGGTTACCTGGAATTGATTGTGGTAAAAATGTACTAGGTATATAAAAACATGCAAAATTAATTCTGCCCAGTGTGTCTTTGAGGCCTACCTCAGAAGAGCCTGTAGAACTGTCATCTAAAACTGTCTTCTGCTTCCAAGAGTTCATTTAAAAAGAAGAGAAGGGCCTAGGGAAAACAGCTGAACCAGGTGGCCAACTATGTTAACAGTCTCCAGATAATAATGCTTTGCACCCATCTTGTTCTTCCTGCCCTGACATTACAGGAAGTAAAGCAATGAATGGCTCTGCAGCTAAACTACAGCAGTATTATTGTTGGCCAACAGGAGGTGCCACTGTGGCTGAAGCACGAGTCTACAGGGATGCCCGTGGCCGGGCCAGCAGTGAGCCACACATCAAGCGACCAATGAATGCATTCATGGTTTGGGCCAAGGATGAGAGGAGGAAAATCCTTCAGGCCTTTCCTGACATGCATAACTCCAACATTAGCAAAATCTTAGGTGAGTGCAGCCGCTGGTGCTGATCTTCTAACGACTGGAAAGAAGGGGCCTAATGTGACACCTAAGGGAGACTGTGGTTTGCGGAAGTTAGGTGGAGCTCAGCAAGCTGCCCCAGGAGACTGTCATCATCTCTGCATTTCCCACCCTGCACCGGAGCCTTTAGGTTTAGGAGTTAGTACATCCACCAGGTGCCAGGGCAGGACTGACTAGACACTTGTTTTAGAGACAAAACTATCTATTGTATGTGTTAATAGGGCAACTCTGAGAGCTCACTGCAAAATAAGAATCATGGAGACAAGCTTTATCTCCTTTTCTTAATTCAGTCTTTTAAAATTCGTAAGTTGCTGTGAAACGCTGGGAACACTCATAGACCCTACAGTTTTCTGCTTTAGAATTCTTGGGCTCATATGTCCCTCTGAAAGAACTCACCAAGGGCTAGGGGTGAGCCCCCAAATAGTGTGAAATTTATGGAGTGTAGAACAGTGCCTCTAATGATAACTTTAAAACTTGTAAAATAAAACTACATTTACTTCAATAAGATATGACTAGTTCAAATTTCATAGCAGTGAGTTGAACACAGAGACCACAGGGCAGAGGCCCATTTTGTGGTAACTTGCCAGAGTGATTCTCCCGTTTCTCCGGATTAAACTCAAGCCTTGTTCTATTAGTGTAAAGCTTGCCTAGTGCAGATTATACAGTTTGGAACTATTGTGCTTAACATATTGAACGTATTTTATTCAACATGCAGCATTACAGTCAACATGTTTCCTCTTTAAAAAGAAAAAACACAGAAGGCACTGTTCTATTTAAGCTGTCATGATGTGACAAAATCTCAAAAGCAGCCGTTTAAGAAGCCGAAAAACATTAGAGACTTAAACTGTGGTTTTCATTTTTTAAATGTTTTGTTCAAAAGCAATAAATATTTAACCTGAGTAAATATCAGTGATCTGGACATACACAAATACACATGTTTTATCACTGTATAAATAATTTAACTTGATTCTGAGACATTTTGAGGCAGCGACCCCTAAGAAAATTTTAAAGATACATAAGATCAAATAGTGTTGAAATGTTAAAATACAAGTTTTTCCTTTTTTTCTTTTTGACTTTTGAATTTCAAGATGGATACTAACTGTTATTACAGTTAAGTGGGGTTTTATTTTTAGAGTTTCAGAGATATACATAGGGGCATTATTCTTATAAATTTAAATACCTTTCAAACCAAAATGGTCCTAATATATATATTAAAATTTTTTCTAATTAATAGACACTCAAAAGAAAATCATTATTTCCCTGTCCCTAAATTTTGATATCTAACTTGGAAATTTTCCCCTTTTTGGCCATTTTATTAGCAGTATGAGTAAGCTCTCCAATGGGCACAGAACCTCTCTGTTTCCATTTTGGCATCTGTGGGGAATCTATATTATTGGTGTGCATTCGTGAAAAAAATTAAGAGTATAGTAAGTATATTCATTAAAATGTAAACTTTTAAGCACAAGAATTTTAAGAGCACCAAAAACCTTAACTGGGACTCTAAGCTGCTGGGAGCCAGCCGAACACAGAGAAGCCTGTCCGTGTAGACTCTCTACACAATTTTTGCACAACAATCAGGAAAAACAGGAATGGATGTGCTTTTAAAACAGACCAGGATATTGCTGGGTGCATAGAATATTTGTACAACTTTTCCATTTGTTTATGTATGAAAAATCTCCACTGAAGAATAGCTGACATCCAGTCAGCACAGCTGTTACCGCTTTATTCACCAGCGAGACACAAAAATGCAATTTGATACACGTAAAAAAACACATCCCTTCTTCGTCAAGTGTTTAGATAATTCTCTATAAACAATATTAGAGAAGTGAATACTTTTCCTTCTTCCTGTATAAACCATATTAAAAATTTTTGTACTTTCATTGGTATGGCTTTGAATGAATGTTTATAGTACTTGAAAATGGTATATATGTATATATATATATATATATATATATATATATATATATATATATAATTCCACTGGACCTTCCGGTTCTAAAGCTATAACTTCTTAAGTAGAGTGTAGACTTTTAATTACCCTAGGCCAGGGGATACAGTGTGCACCTTAGGTTTTTATATTTGGAAGAATATCAACATCTAACATCTTATCAAGGGACAGCTTCACTAAAGATGCTTGGAGTGTGGGAGATGTTTGAATTTCTGGAACCAAGAGAGTTTTTCCTGAGAATTCTGTCATAATCCAAAGTATACTTAGGAAGTCTAGGTTTTTAACCCTAGGCAGATGGATGGGGAAACAACCTTGGTGTAGGAGACGATCTTAAGAAGCAAAGACGTGTTTTAAAACAATATACTTATGGTAGCATCAGCTTTAAGTTATTGAGGGAAATAATATAATAAATGTATCACATCCAAATTATTCTTTGCTCTATAGTCTAAAACACTAGTTGTGTGGCTCGATGGTATGTGGTAATAGGAGCTACCCAGAGCACGGGTGAGTGAAGTGGTGGGAAGGTATATCTAGTTATTTGCCAGGAGTATGTTGTATGTTGCCTTGACCACTTGGGTACTTAAGGCTATTTTTATGTCTAGGGTCTCGCTGGAAATCCATGTCCAACCAAGAGAAGCAACCTTATTATGAGGAGCAGGCCCGGCTAAGCAAGATCCACTTAGAGAAGTACCCGAACTATAAATACAAACCTCGACCGAAGCGCACCTGCATTGTTGATGGCAAAAAGCTCCGGATCGGGGAGTATAAGCAACTGATGAGATCTCGGAGACAGGAGATGAGGCAGTTCTTTACCGTGGGGTAAGTGTTCCTGCATTTAACCACCTGGGCTTTCCTGCGGTGAGAAACCACAGGATGGCCACTGGCAGTGCTTTGGGGAAGGAGATTAGGGAAGGGAAGAGGTTGTGACATACCGAAGGGGCCTGTCACAAGCGCACAGCCTTGCAGCATGGCTTCTGCTCAAATCAAAACAAACAGCCAACAGATCACTCCCAACTGATAACCCCTTTCATTGTCTCTCAAACTAATCTAGGATGTCCAGTGCCCACACACAAAGTTTCTGGTAGTTTATTTAAGCAGACACACAGGGAGGAAAAAAAGAGTAAAAACTAACCTTAAGAAATCCCCAGAAGCTTTCTAGCTTCTCTGGGTGGTGCTTCTGACTCTAATCACAATAGTCTGCTTTTGTTGTGGGATTTACCACAAGATAATTGGCCTTGACATTGGTTAGAGGACCTCATTTTTGGCATAAGATCCAGAACTCCTGTTGCAGTAAATTATTCTGTGGTAGAAGCAGTAACAATGTGGATTTTCTTGCTTAAATCAGAAACTAGACATGTTTTTGATATCTTCAAGTCTGATTTCATGTCATTTTGTTTAAAAATTAGGTAATAGATTTCTGGTATAAATTTCCACTTGGCTGACTGGCTGTCTGCACTCGAAAGAGGCCTCTTGTAACCACAGTGGTCAGCAGAGCGGGGTGCAGATGTCTGTAGGTTCCGGCACACTCAGACCTAGCAGCACAGGGGTGGCAAACCAGAGGGCCGTCTGGAGGCAGTGGCCTGAGGCAGCTGGCATCAGACTGGGGAGACACTTGGGAAAGGGCTTGAGAGAGAGAAGTGGAGGAAGCAAAAAGGAAGCTGTGTTCACTGTTAACTGGAAGGGGAATTGAGGAGCTGTGCTGTGCCAGGGAAACAAGAAAACTTCACTTGGAGGTGAAGAAAAGAGATGCCTTAAAGGAGGAGTAAAGAACCATTTATTTTTAAGGGCACTCAGAAAATAACCTCATGAAACACAAGGCTGGTTTCAGAAGCATGTGTTTAAAAACATACAACTAATTTGGAAAAGTAAATAGTCAGAATGCAAAAAAAAAAAAAAAAAAAAGGCCAATGAGAGCAGCCTGGGTCACTATACAATACACTAGAGTGTTCTGGGGAGGAGCATCGGCTTCTGCGTTTGACCACTGAGTTTGAGACGCTGTGCGACCTATTTGGGCAAGTTATTTAACTTTTCTAAGCTTCTGTTTTCTCATGTGTGAAGTGAAACGAATAATAGTACCTATGTCATACGATTGTTGAGAGGATTCAATGAGGCAGTGCTTTTAAAAGTACTTTGTATAATGCTTAGTACAATATCAGTAAAGGTGAATTCCTGTCATTATTACTATTAAATATGGATTTGCTATCAGAGTAAAACTATATTTTATATCACACTAGATAATCAATGAATTTCTTTACACTATGGCAGAAACTTTTCGAGGTAAAGTGAGGCCTAAATCACTTTGTTATTTGAGGATCCCAGTGTATTAACAGCTGAAGACATGCCAAAATAGGATATCAAATTCTTCTGTGTTACAAATGTTTGCATTTTAAAAAGTAATGCCTTTAACACCAAAAGTACAATACAATATAATTGGGCTACTCACATGCTAATTAGAGAATTTATGAAATATACCAAGTCACAGTGTACTCTAGGAAGTATAGTTGTAGGTAACAAAATATAAATTTAAGACTGTGTAATGTCTTCTTTTAATCCTGTTAGTCTATCTCTGAAAAGGTATATAGTCTCTTTTGAGCGGAGAATCAAGTTTAAATTTGAGATGTTTTGTCATTCCCACCCTTCTCTCAGTCATGTCCCCTGTGTTGCATAGTGGGTCTCTTTTGCCATAGTCTGGAAGATTATCAAAGGCACCATTTTAGTTCCCTGATAACTTATTTGAAAATATGAGATGCAGTAATTCTATTTAATTTAAGTCCTCTTTACCAAAGGGAACATTGATACCAGCTCTGGACCGAAATACCTCAACACATAACAATGCATGTAAAATGAAACTCTAAAACAACTCAATCGCATCTACCACTTATTGAATGCCTACTGTATACGAGGTGTTTTAGGTATACAAAGTATATAATCCTCTAAATAAGATAAATAAATGGAGGCTTCAAGAGGTCCTATGGCTACTGAAAGGGGAGCGAGAGCAAAGGATTAAATCAGGTCTCTGCCTCTGTCATGCCAAATGACTGAGGAATTGTCTTCACGACATTGCTTCAAAATATGCCTCAGAGTCCTATTCTGCACAGTTGTGAGTATGGCTCCTAGAACCTAGAGAAAATAAGGTCTTTTGTCGTGGTGTACAGTAGCATAAAAGGAGCTTTGAAATTTAGAGACTAAGGATTCTGACGGCGTAGAGGTCCTTTGTGGAAGGCTCATTTTAGACTGTGGAATAGGGCTATGGATGTGCAGGCAATGGCCAGAATATCTTACTCTTAAATCTCCAGTGCTGAGTATTCTCCCCTGCCCAGTTTTGATAATACTTGCTACATAAAGCCAGGTATTATTTCCACTTAAGGATTCGTATTTTCTTTTAAGTAGTTGTATTTGATAGATTATTAACTCCCTGGGATTCATCTTTGCAAACTGATCTTCATTAGATACGAGGTTATTTACAAGAGGGAGAGACAAACAAGAAATTCAAAGATTGCTATTGACTTCTTGAGGGAACGGGGGTTAGATCAATTTTTATAGCTGATTTTGAAAAGACGTGCATAACTTTCAAGCCAATAAAATTACATATATTGCTCAACATTGTCATACATTTTACTGATGATACAACTGGAAATTCAGTGAGTTAGGTTTTTTTTTTTTACTTAGCTATTATGAAATGAATTTATCAATATATGAAATGGAGTAATATTAGCTCTAACCTTGGATTTAACCCCTTCAATTGATAGGTTAAGTATCAGAGTTCTGTAATAATCCTGATAGGAGTACTATTTTAATGTTAAATGATACTTATTAGGGTACATATAGCTACAACATTGTATTTTCCCAAAGAACTATGGCTAAATGTAATGTATTTCCAATTTATTTGAAGCGTATTCAGTAATTTATGTGTGAGCTAATAGAGAATTATGCAGATACTAAAAACTATTAAAATTTGGGGCTACTTTTTGAGTAACAATAATGGTAAATTATTGAATACTTACTTATACTGAGTGAATTATACAGATTATTGCAGATACAACAAACTTATAAGATAGGCACTATCATCTTCTCTATGAGGTTGAAAAACACAGTATTCAGAGATGTTAGATAATTTGTCCAAGTCCACACAGCTAGTAAATAGCAGAGCTGAGATTTAGACCAGGCTTATGTGAACCCTTATATTTCCTTTTCACCCTTACACATACCTCTCAATTAGAGCCTACAGATTTCTTAGAAGCCGTATAGTGTAGTGGTTAAGAATGTCAATTCTGGAGCCAGACCGTTCTGGCTCAAATACTAGCTCTGCTTCTTCCTGGCTCTAGGAACTAGTGCATAGCAATTCTTATTCCTCTGAACTCTCCACTTGCCCTTGGGAAACTTATTTAAACTCTGTGTACCTCAGTTTCCTCATATGTAAAATGGGGATGACAGTAATACCTACAACATCAGACCTTTCTGAAGATTGAATAACTTAATGTATCTAAAGTGCTTGCAACAATGTCTGGCATATAGTAAGTCCCAAATTAGCGTAAATATTATTATCCTAGAGAAATGATGCTATGTGTCAGGTATATATTTCATATTATAAAGAATTATGTTCTCCTGCATTGTGGTATAAGTGATTTGAACATTTGCCATTTTGATCTTAATCTCAAAGAGGTTGAATAAAACCTATAAGATACTTACAAATTTAACTGAGTAGCATAGACTAGACATGCTGTTTTTAGCATTGTCCTCCTGTAGAGAAAGCCAGATTAGAATCTCTAATAGGTAATGTAAAAAGATGTGCAACTTACAGGTTTAATCTCCTAATGAAGCAAACTTCATTGCCTTCATTTATAGATACTGTAAAGGATCAGCAAACAGGAGCTTTGACAACATAAATAAATAGTTCCATTGCAATTGGCAAAGCTAGACTATACTCCAGGACTCTTCTTGTGATTTGGAAACCATGCACCAATGCTGGACTCTATCAGGAACAGCTCAAACTCTTTACTTGGGCTGGGAGGGAGGGTTCTTAGCCATCTCTACTCATATCAGCTGCATGCGTGTACTTTTATAAATATCTACAACTTTTGTTTTGATGTGCACATTCATTATTTGTAAAGTCCAATGCTTGCCAGCTATCCCTGTTTGTGAAATCTGCAGTGTTTGAATTTTGACTTTGCAATTGATCTGTAAAGGAAGGAAAAATGCTTTTTAGGAAAGTAACTTCCGATAGACAAAGCTTGAGCCTGCTGGCCAGATCTTCCATTTTGTTAATTGATTAGTCAGTCAGTTGGTAAGGGCCTATTTGAAACCAGCTGTGTGCCTAGCACTGTACTAAATTAATATAGTACATGAGGCATTAATTCTGTACACAGTGAGCTTTCAGAGAATGCTAAAGTCAGAGAGTCCAGACATATACATGAATAGGTTAGCAAATAATAGTTTGTTATACACACATGCACACACAGAATACATTGCATAGTGCTCCACATAATGTATAATGGAATACTAATTTTGATTATATAGACAAGAGCAAGTAAAGCTCTGAGGGAGGGAGATTACTATGCATTAGGGCCACGCGTAGGCCATTCTTGAGGAAGGGGACTTGAGGTTTGGGTAGCGTCAGGCTGGTGGAAAGTACAGGTAAAGATTCCTATTTTAGCATGAAGGAGAGCATGAACACATGGGGGAAATGTGAAAATGTTCAAAAATAAATAAGGAGGCTATCCTAGGAATTTTTTCTGGCAGTAAGAAAAGTAAAATATGTAGGGTGGAATAATATTTTGGAAACCCTTGAAAGCCAGATTTCTTCAATTATAATTACCTCTGCTCACTTAATTTTTTTAGTCTCTTTTTATGCTGATAATGACAATGAGAGCAAGACCAACATGACAGTTAGCTTATGATTCTGCATCCACAGAATCAGTGGTCACATAGAAGGGGCCTCAGAAGTCATATCCTTCAAATAGCCAGCCATTGTAGGAGTCCTTTCTAAGTTTAGCTTGAACTCTTTCTTTGAGGGCTAGAGAGCTCACCACTTTCCAAGGGAGCTAGTTTCTTTGTGGAACACCTCCTAATGCTAGAAAGTTCTTTCTTCTTAAGTAGGCCATACTCTGCCTTTCTGCTACTTTGTAGATAGGCTCTGATCCTCTTCTTTGGTCACTTCTGGAACAAATCTCTTCCTTTTTTGTGAAGAAAATCATTCAAGCATTTAAAGATGATTATATTCACATTCCTTCTCCACTACCCTCTCTCTCATATATCTAAGCTCATTATATCTTTTCTTTTGTAGAACAGGTTACCCAGACTTTTCATTTGTTTTCCTTCTCATTCACTAGTTCATTCTCTCATTCCATGTAATCAACAGATTTTTGTTGAGTGCTTCCTATGTCCCAGGCACTGCTTAAGCTCTGGGACTACATCAGTGAAAAATCCTATCTTCATGAAGCTTCCATTCTAGTGGGGGATGTCAGACAATGAATGAGTAAATGAATGAATAAATAAATAAATATCAAATAATAATAAATGCCTTAGAACAAACTAAAGGAGGGAAAGGGATAGGGAGTTTTAGAGGATGGATTGCAATTTTAAACCGAGTGGCTATAGAAAACCTCACTGAGAAGATTAACTTGAGCAAAGACCTGAGGAGGTGAGGGAGCTAGCCATGCAGATATCTGGGAGAACTAGGCAGAGAGAACAGCAATTGCAGAGATCTCGAGGAGAGGTTGTGCCCGGCTTGTTCAAGAAATAATGAGGCCAGAGCAATAGGAGCAGAATGAGTAGGTGGGATGAGTACTAGGTTTCAGAGGTAGTAGAGAGCCACATGCTGAAAGGACTTGTTGACATTGTGAAGACTTTGAATTTGAATCTGGGTCAGATGGAAAGACATTGAAGAGTTATAAGCAGAAGAGTATTGTGATCTGACTTAGGTTTTAAAAAGATCAGTCTATCTACTGGGTTGAAATATTGTCTGAAGGGGATGTGCCCTGAACTAAGGAGCCAGGCTCTTACAGTAAACCAGATTAGCATTGGTGGTGGCTTGAACCAGGTTTGTAGAGGTAGAGGTGGCAAAAGTGGAGGGATTTTGGATATAATCCTGAGAGTGAACCAGTAGGATTTGCTGATGGATTGGATATAGGGATATAGGATTGGCCCCAGCAGTCAGAAAGATGAAGTAATCATTAACCAAGATCTGAAAGGCCATGAGAGGAGCCCAGTACATGGGAGAATGATCAGGAGTTCAGTTTTGCACCTTTATTTATCTCTCAGGCTTATTGTGAGGATTAAAGGAGATAATTTGGAAACATCTAAGCATTGTCCATAGCACATAATAAGAGGTCAATTCAAATTTATTTAATATATATAGATATTTTGATTTTAAAATACTGCAAAAAAATGACCATCTATTCTTTGCAAAAAGAAAATGTCCTTCATGAAAAGAAAATGTATCATTTGATAGTTTGCATATGGTATGTAGAATTTATATTATAGATTAGCTCACCATATTGGGAAATCTGTAAAATGGGTTAATAGTGCAGTAAAAGTTTTCACTCGACACTCATTACGTGATTAAGGCAAAAATATTTTTATTGCAATTATCCAAATTCAGTAAAATATTTAATGAGGCTCTTACTGCCTTGGATAGGTTAGCATAAAATTTAATTTGTGTTAATTTGCCCCAAACTTAGGAAGCAAGAAGTATACTGTTTTTAGAATTTGATTCTATGAAAGCAAAAACAGTATCTTATCAGATGTTTCTATACATAGATTTAGATTCCTCTATCATCTTCTTTGGGGCAATCAAAAAAATAACCACGAGCATCATAGAAAATGCATCAATATCAGGCACGTAGTATCAACTGGACACCTACAGGCTCTATAGAAGTCAGGAATTTTTATGGGATATAGTGAGCATAGTGTATCTGTATATTGAATATCTAGGAAGGAAAGAGTGATGGAATTCAAGTCAGGTGACCTAGGTTCAAATCCCAGCAGTGTTGATTATTGAATGCAGGACCTTAAGCAAGGCCTCATTTTCTTCATCTGAAAACTGGGCATAATAATACCTCATGGGGTTGCCTTGTTAACTGAATGAGGTAATATATATGTAAATATTTATATATTATGTTAGTCAAAGGTTAAGGCATCATTATTATACCTCCTAGTGTTTGAAAGAGGTTGTTAAAAATAGCATTATCAGATATCCCACAGTGTGATTCTAGGCCATTTCCATCATTTCTCCTTCTACCAGGCTGGAAGGCATGCAGACATTTTTGAGAAGTTATGCTCTTTCAGGACGTGTCAAAGGATAGCTGGTAACTAAGCTAGCTCTTCACAAATTCAGCGTATTTTGCTTTTAGATTGAGGTGGATAGAAGTTTCAGTGTAGGGGGGTCAATAAGAATGCTTCAAGTGATGGACTGACCTGAGGCCAAGTATTAACAGGTGGAAGGACTTTCCAGGACTTCCCTGACCCCAACTTTTATAAATAAATGGAAACTGAGGCTCAGAAAAGAGAGTTACAATGACATTTTGAGGTGAATTAATAATACTGTACATAGAGATTGAGAAACACTTGGTGAATATTGCATCCGTGAGAATATTGTTTCAGTCCTAGTCTTTGAGCTAGGTAGTAGGTCTTCCATTCTTTCAACCAGTTACAATGCCTCAAGGGAAACTGAGAGACAGATAGCCATGTCTCCCTGCAGAGGGAGAGACTGCCCTTTGTAAAGGGTCTGGTAAGTTTATTTGAACTAGAGTGTCATGACGACGGACTGAGCTGGTGTGACCATGCCCTGGCACCCGCTGGGATCTAGGATGAGGCAGCGTGTTATTCTGTTAAGTGGTGGAGCTTTCACTGTTCTTCACTCCTGACTCCTCCAACCCCAGCTCCAGCCCAGGGCCACAGGACTAACGACATCCAAGATGATCCTTTCATAATTAGGAAGTAGAAGCTTCAAGGAGCTTCCCTACAAGTTCAGCCGCGGAAATAAGTAGACATTTACACGGATACCAAATACACGCTTTGCCGAATCTGACTCTGGGATATACTGGATCCTTTCTCATCTTGATCTTTCCTTTGTACAGTTCTCAGACCAAGGTGAAGACACAAACCTGCTTAACTGTATCATTACAGTATGTCTCATATTACCAGCCTATTTTTTTGTCATGTCCTGGGAGATCTTAAAAAATGATCTCACATGTAACTTTGTGGAATCAACTATAGTATTTGTTCCAAATGCCAAGGGGTTATCAGAGCTTTGCTTTCATGTTGCAAAGCCATGGATAAATTGCTCCATTGTTGCTTAACACCAATCACATCATCAGGGAGATTTGCAGGACTCCTCCAGGAAACACCTTTGTCACATTTTGTCATTTGCTTAGAATTTCAAACAGAGCCCCCTTTTAGAATGTGTGAGGGGTGAATTCCGATGCCACACGGAAGAACATACGTATATAGATATTTCCCTCTGTTTTATTTTATTTTTTGAATCTATACAGGCAGCAGCCTCAGATTCCAATCACCACAGGAACAGGTGTTGTGTATCCTGGTGCTATTACTATGGCAACTACCACACCATCACCTCAGATGACATCTGACTGCTCTAGCACCTCCGCCAGTCCAGAGCCCAGCCTCCCGGTCATCCAGAGCACTTATGGTATGAAGACAGACGGCGGAAGCCTAGCTGGAAATGAAATGATTAATGGAGAGGATGAGATGGAAATGTATGACGACTATGAAGATGATCCCAAATCAGACTATAGCAGTGAAAATGAAGCCCCGGAAGCTGTCAGTGCCAACTGAGGAGTGTTTGTTTGCTGAATTAAAATACTCTGACATTTCACCTCCCCTCCCCCAACAGAAAAGTTCTTAAAGAGCCCGCATGCATTTGTGGCTCCACAATTACATCAGCAGAATGGTCTTAATTGTTTCGTAAAGCGTGAGACAGATTAAGTTTTCCCAGATTTTTCATGAACTTGAGTTTTTTGTCGTTATTGTTATTGTTGTTGTTGTTTTTTAATTTAGGTGAAGACATATTAAATATGAGACACCAGGACTTGAAAACTTATCTCAACCCATAGCTGTCTTACAAGTCTTATATTTTGTCTTACTTTTTTTCTTTTGGATGTTGATAAAGGTTTAAGTTACTGTTTTAGATGGGGTTAAACATTCTCACTCAGGTATGCTGTGCCAGCCTACAAGTTGTGAATGTGTTTTTATTCTGAATTATTTTAGAAAACAACTGAGAATTTCATATTGTGAAACAGAACAAGTCCACGGCGTGTGCAGCTGCATGTAGAGCATATTCAAAAGGCCTCAGAATTCCATTTTTCCATGTGTAGAGTTAAACTTTGAATGTGCCAAACTTTTTCATAACTTTTGAATCTTAATATTTTGAAAGTCTTAAAGGAGACACTGCAAAGTCTTAGACAATCTTTGGCATCTTAAAATAGCAAACCACACTTTTTTTTTTTCAGAAAATGGTGAAGTACTCAGGAATCTGGAGACAAGATATTGTAAGGAATGAACAAGGTTGCCACAGTGCATGTACCCAATTGTGTTTGCCTCTTGACGTGCCATCAGTGTGTGACGTGGTACGACGTCCACGCACCAGAGCGATCACCACACCAGATACCGACATGGTGGTCTTCTCTGCCTGAGACCACCTCTCACTACATCCATTATCCCTTTGCCTTTAACCCTGACATTCAGTCTTAACACATTTTCTCTTAAATAATTTATTCATTCCAGAATGTCAAGGGTCCACTTACTATTTATTTAAAAAAATTGTTGGTGGCATTAATTTAATAATTCTTTTTTCTTACCCTCCTTCCCCAAAGAACTTTTCAGCCCTTTTCACCTCCTTCTCCTGCTAGATACAAAGGTGTACATAGTGATTTTATGTCCCCAGAACATCTGGATGCATTTCTGAAACAAGATACTACTAAATACCTATATTGTTGTTTTTGAACATCAGTGTATATATGGCTATAGAGCTGTGTATTTGGATACAGGTGTAGAGATTTACACTTCAACAGGTATTGCCCCTGAGGTTCCCCGTGACTTTGAATCTTTTGCCAGAATTTTCCCCTAATTCAATTAGGCAACAAGTGGTAGGATCTGCATCAGTGGCATTTCCCCTCAATGCCATTCAGCAGCAAGGGTCAACAGTGGTGACTGCCAGGCAGGGGAGTCCCGCAGCCAATCCTAAAGCCCAAAGCTGTGGTCCATGTAGGAGTCCACAGGGATGATGTCATGGGCTGGCGCCTTTATAATGAGCTGCCTTGTCCCATCTCGCACATCTAGGGAGTTCTTTGCAAAATCCCCAGGATGCAAGAAGCCACGTGACAGCCTCAAAGCAAAGATAGAGGCAAATAGTCGTGATACATCCAGAGAATGAAAGAAAACCATAGAGAAGGAGAAGGAGGAGAAATACATTCCCTAAATGGGATGTTCCTACTGTTAACTCTGGGGAACAGATCACTCCTGGGGCAGCAGACGAGTTCCTCTGGCTCACTCCCTCCATCTGTGGCTGCATGGGGGTCATGCCTATGTGTGAACAAGATTAACTGCCCTTGTCACACAAGGATTTTTCTGGAGATGCACTGATGGGCTGGGAAGCAGTGAGGCTTCATTCCCCATCTCCTAACTGCAGGGAGCTCAGCCATGCCATTTTGACCTTCCTGAAACCAGGACTGATTGCCTATGGGGAAGCCTCACCCAGAGTAGTTTGGTGGGAGAATGTCAGCAGATGGGACAGTTCACCTCATGGGACAACCAGAATCTGATCACCAGGACATAGGAACGGCCCCATCAGATTTCTTGAGCCATTTTGTCACTTGGAAGAAAATAGTGTACCTTCATATTTATTTAAGAGTGCTCAAGGCCATACCTAATAGCAATAAATAGGTCTAGCCAAGACTTTACTGTCTATGTCATTAGCTAGGAGTGCTCTCTATAAACTGATTAAGGTACTGATAGGAATGTTTGGTTCTTAATATTGATTGGGGATTGGAACTTTGTTTTTGTACATTTATTTCAAATGAGGAGGAGCTCGTTTTCCTAAAAAAAAAAAAAAAGAGTATTTATTATTGTCTTACTGGTTTCTTTTGATTATATACCTCTCCTCCTCAGTTCATTCTCACGTTGTTTTCTCTTTCTCTTTGACTCTTGCTTTTGCCCTGTCCCGCTCCTTTTTAATTTTGTTGCATAAGTAGAGTGCTGTATGGCTAGCATTGTATTGTATGTAATTAATTTTGCACAAAGGCAGACATTTAGAATAGTAGGTTAATTTTGTTTGTTTTTATGACCATGCCAAAATAATATTCTGGGCTGGTGGAGAACAAAGGACTGTTCTTTAGGACTGAAACTTGATTTTGCTTGTAGTTAAAAAAAAAAAAAAAAAAGAAACAAAAAAAGAAATCAACAAAAAAAACAAAAAACACACACACTCACAGATGTTGTTTCATAAGTGTTATAAGCACTGGATATAAATGGTATTTTTTATCACTTCTGACTAATGTGAAGCTGTTGTACAAAAACTACATGAACAAAAGTCATCTGTTTCGACTCGTGTGGGCTTGCCTCACAGTTGCCGGATTTGAGTCATTTTTATGTCTTGTTATTTCATTTATTTATGCAAAATACATGTGTGTATGAACACTTTGTTTTAGCTCCAGCTCTGCCTCAGTACTGGGGTTCAGTTACTTCTAGCCATGTTCTTAAAAATGAAAGGCTATTCAGGAATGATCTGATTGTAAACGCCTCTTTCATTGGGTCAAACAGTGATGCTGTATTTGAATCTAAATTCTGCACATAAGCAGTTTATTCTATTTATTAGCCAAGTTTGGCTCTAAATATCCATGGAAATTAAGAATGACAATCATAGGGATCACGTCATTTTATTTTCATTGGGGCTTAAACAAAGTTTTTATGACTTCACCATCTCATTTTAGATTTTTCTAATTGTGTAAATATAACATAGAAATAGAATTTATTTTTGGCTCATGAATATTTAGTGAAATATAAGTTATGTATTTCCTTTTTGTTCTCTATCCATATATGTTGGTCCAGACTAGAAGTTGACGAGTCACTGTACCTCATGGGGTAGTGAATTATCAGCCACAGTGAGAAAGCAGAGTCCCACCTGTAGCTGGAGCAGTAAAACTCATCACTTGGGTTCTCATACAGTTTAGAACCCACTGTCCACAGACTCAGACTTTCACTTTTTTTTCTTATAGAAAGTTGATGAATTGAACATGGTGAATTTCCAGCACAGCTGGGAGAGAGTCAATTTGCTTTGTGAATCCACATAAACCTTAGAAGGTAGTTCTGTGACCGTTTACTAGCATGGAGCATGAATGCCATTAGAAAGGCAAAAATCGTTCTCTGAGATCGGCCATTAATGAAAGTCCCACCATGCCAATTAAAGAATGTTAATCAACTTTTTTTTTTCCCATTGCTCCCTATTTCATAGTATCTTCAAATCAAAGGTAAAAATTACCTCCATTTTGTTAAAGAACTTGCAGGATCAGGATTTTCCTTGTCACTTAGAATAGGGACACTGGCAGACAATCCTGTCCTAAAAAATGGACCATGTGGAATAGGAAGGAAGGAAAGGAAGAAAAAGAAAAAAAGAAAGAAAGAAAGAAAGGGAAAGAGGAAGAAAGAAAAGCAAAAGGAAAGAAAGAAAGAAAGAAAAAGAAAGGAAGAAAGGAAGGAAGGAAGGAAGGAAGAAAGGAAGAAAGGAAGAAAGAAAAAAAAAAAGAAAGAAAGAAAGGGAGAGAGAAAGAAAAGGTTAATCTGTGGACAGGAGCAGCCAGGCAGGCAGTTTTTCTGTTTCATTGGCAGATGCGAGGCAGTATCTTTTCCAGGAAGGTACGAAAGCTTTGTTGTTTTCACCTGTATTCAGCTCACCCTTTTAGGGGCACGTCAGTTTGCTTCATTTGGTATTTGATACACCCCAGCCTTGTCCTCAGGCCTGATTTGATTTGCCAGGGTCCTGACACCATCTCTCAGGCCAAGTTCTAAATTCAGGTGCGGGCTCACAGTGCTATTGAGCTTGTCAAATTCTGGCCTCCCCTGAACATTAGCCCCACTGGAGCCTGGGGTGTTTGAAAAGGGTGTGATCACTCTAGGGCTGAAATTAAAGGCTTCTTTCTTTTCCTTATGAAGCCAGGCTGCTTCTCCGGAGCACACCCTCCTGAGCGGGGAGCACAGGCACTAGCTGAAAGCAGGAATTGTTTTGAGGAAGCCCATCTAACCCCAGTAGGAAGGCAGCCCGGTCGCTTGAACACCACAGCTGAGGCTGCTTCTCTCAATTTACTCGTCTTGCAAAGAGGTGACCTCTACCTACTCATTAGGGAAAAGAAAAAGAATCAGTTAGTAGTTTTAAACCGTATGAGAAGTCCTGTACCAAGTGCCAACAACTGCAAAGAATGCAGCTAGAGGAATGTATTGACTTTATTACTGGGTCTTCCTTTCTAATGAGAAAATGACAAAAATGGTTGCTGTAGCCTTGCCTGATTTTGTACACGTTTGTTTAAGGACTGAGTTGGCACTTAAACTCACTTCTCAAAGTATAATAATATTGTATGACCTCATTTGTCCTTTTTCAAAAGCACTTGCATCATTTCCTTAAGTCATCTGTCCCCTGACATGTTTTCTTCCTTAATAAACAACTTCTATCTGCTATTCCTGCCGATTATGTTCTGTTTCTGATGCCATGTACTATTGAGTGTAACCCTCTGCTAATATCACTGAAAATATTGATATGCAAACACATTTCCCTTTCATCCCCATGCCATCTTTTCTTTTGGGGACAGATTTCTTCCCAAAAGCCCATGAACAAGTATTTGGAATGCTGGTACCTTTGGGGCAGGGCTAGAGGGGGGAGGGGGAGGGGCAAAAAGGTAAAGCTTAGTGCAAATCCTCTTCTAATTGGTGTCCGTGGCAATATGAAAGCTTAAAGGCAACTCAGTGACATATCTTGCTCAGTAGCTTCTTATTCCTGAAGAACCACAAGCAGAAAGTGAGGCCTCAGTGCTGGTGCTCTTGGAATATGGGGAATGTGCAAATATTTAACTGTTTCGTATGCTGCACATTTGCAGACCTGCTCATGTGCATTCTCCGTTTGTCTTCCTTTGTCATATGTGTTTTTGCTTTTTTGGAAAGTGCAGTCTTTATTGTACCCTTTCCAGCTTGTAGCAAATTAGAATGCTTAGCATTTATGTTCATTCATTATTGTATTTGCCATGTAAAATTTTTATTACCTTAGACGAGCTTATAAGCTGTTACTACATAACTTATCTTACTGTAACTCTTTTATTTCCCGACATTGTAATTTGTTTGTGATGTATATTGTGAGATTGTATTCTGTGTTAATTTAATCAGCACAATTCACTGACATGCTGGACTGAATGCTGGCTGCTGTTTCAAAGTGTAAAGTTTGTGTAGGGCTGTTGGGACAACTGCAACTCTGTTGTCAAGGTGCTGTGCTGGTTCCTCTAGCGACACTGCGGGTGCGGCCCTTGGGACGCTAAGGGCGTTGAATACACCCTTGAGCAAATTTTAACTGCAGATATTCTTTGTAGAAATTCTGTGTATAATGCAGGTACCTACTTGGCCCGTGGCTGGTAACTATTTGGGCAATTAGAAAAACAACAAAAACCATAAAAACTAGTGTCTATTGCTGCTTTGAATATGTTTGAAAGTCTGAAAATGTAAATAGTTTATCAAAAAAAAAATCTTGTACAGTCCAGTGTAAAGTTTTTAAATGACCTTAAGGGTTGCCATCACATCTTTCTCACACTCTCCTCTTGATAATGGAAAAAAAAGTTTGCTAAGGATTAAAGAAATGAGAAAAAAAAAAGAATATCTTCAAATTTCAAGGAATGAATCATTGTTCTTAGCTTTGTTGCATACACACACTTCTTGGATTTCGTTGTGCAGTATTGACGTGAGATAAAACTCAACATTGAATAATCTTTCAGTGGTACTTTTCAAAGTCTTCCCCTCCTCTGCCTCATAATTAAGGGAAAAGACAAAATTGAAAGACACTGTCTTTATCTATCCTGGTGTATGTTGGCACCTTAGCTACTTTTTTTTTTTCCTTTTTGCACAAGGTGCTTTCCTGATATGTTAAACATGCCATCTTTGGGTGATAATGTATATGCCATGATGGGGCCTAGGCCCCTCAGGGGAGTGTCTATAAGAACTGCCTATTTATGCTCATTTACCTCAAGACTGTCCTCTCTACCCTTAATCTAGTCGTCATCACTCCATCTTTTGTACTGCTGTTGACACTTACAAATTAAAGATAAATTTTGTTTTATGACCTCCGTGTACGGCCTTGTCTGTGCCCTGCCAACTGTTCCTACCCTGAAGCCTGGTCAGCCCTCGGCTCGTGCAGCCCTGGCCCACACTGCCTGCTGCTGGAGCCTGCAGAGCCTTCCTGCTCCCACCGGTGCTCCTACCTTCGCTGGGAGGTAAGTCTTCAAACCCCTTAGCCTGGAAGACTGGCCTGCTTTCTTCACTGCGGAGCATGCACAGCTGTGGCAGGAAATGCTGTGGATTCAGATGGCAGGAACAGGATCCAAGGTGGATTTCTGTCAAGGGAAGATGGGAAAGGATGTCACTTCCTATTTGCCTGACTTCTTCATGAGAGTGAAACAGTTTATAAAAACTCCCAGCATTCCCGGGTATGAACGAATCTCGAGGGCCAACCTCTCACATGACATCAACTTCTACAAGCCTAGCAGCCAAGAGTGGAAAATGCCGCACTTCTGGAACCGTTGCCTCCGCTGTGGTTGGGAGTGGTTGGCTGATTTCTCAGCTACTTCTGCCTCAGAGAAGGAGAGTTCCCGGTCTCCTTGCCCAGCTATGAGTTGGCCCGGGAGCGAATGATACCAGCCTCTAAGGGTCTGAGGCCTGGAGGTGGGGTAGTGGACCAAAGTGAGGCGGGCCCTTAAAGGAGACTGGCCAAACCAGCCAAGCCAGTGCTATGGATCCAGAGGTTAGTGACCAACACCTGGAGAAGGAGGCAAAGGGCTCAGGGGAGACAGAGGGGAGGCCTAGCGATTTCTTCTTTGATATTTCCTGTGACAAATGCCTCATTAGAGAAAAGCCAAGGATTTGTGGAACTTTTCTTTATCACAGTCAAACTGTCAGTTTGATGCAATCTGTTGTCAGTCCTGAAAACCTAGCTTTCCATGCCCCTCCCTCCTGCCCCGTGGGTTTTAAGCGTAGGGAATTGCTTTGGAGTCACACAACCTGGCTCTGCCACTTGCCAGCTCTGTGACCTTCCCTAAGTAACTCCTCTGAGCTTTCTCCTCTGTAAAATGGGGCGATAAGTCCCTACCACTCAAGGTTATTGGGGGAATTCAGTGAAATGGCACGTGTAAAACACCTAGCAGCAGGCCTGTACACAGAGCACGCGAGTGAGCCTGCCTCCTCTGATCAGAGAATGTCTCAGCTAGGGGAGAGCATTGGTGCCACTGGCTGAGCTTCAGTTCGGAATCTGGTCCTGTCTGTGATTACCCTTCCTTCCTCCAAGCTGGTCTCCAGGACACAGATTTCTCATTTCTAGTGTATCCTCACCACTGCCTTTGGTTTTCTTTCTAAAACACAGATCTGATCTGTCCTCCCTCTCATAATCTCTCCTAAAATCTTCTGGGTTTCCATAGCTGACCAGATAAAATCCAAACTTCCTACCCTGACACTCAAGTGCCCGCAGACCTGCCAGCCTCATTTTCCACTGTGGCCGTACATGCCTGCGACTTCATTGCTTCTCTCGCACCCTGGGGCCTACCCACGACCCTGGGACTCTCACTTCTTCTTTGGCTTGGAGTAAATCTGTTCTCTTTTCTGTTTGGAAAATTTCCTATCCTCTTTCAAACCCCACCCCAGATATCACCACCTCATCAGGCCTTTCCCAGCTCCCCAGATAGTTTCAGGCTCTCCCCCGGGGCTCCCAAGGTACGTTGAAAGGACCTCTATGATCATGTTTACCACATTGTAATAATCTGTTTCTGTGTCTGTCTTTTCTGCTAGATAACAAGCTACCGAAACCAAGGACTGTACCTTGGTCCTCCCAGCTCCCAGCACAGTGCTTGGCATAGAGTAAGTGCTCAACACTTGTCTGTGGAATGAATGTGTGAATGGTGGCAACTTGGCCTCCATGTGTGGTACAGATGCCTGTGAGTATCAGGGTCTTAGATGGTGGGGATGAGGGAGCCTGTAGGGGTACCTTGGTATTAGCTACTTCGTTTGGAGAACATTTTTATTTGAAGCATCTCTGGTCATTTGGGGGGAACCATTTCAAATCAGTGTGATGTTTTTTCCTGATCAGACCTGAAGGCATTGAGTCCCCATGCTATGGGGAGGACTCATCCTGTTGGATGCCCAGGTTTCTGAGCCTAGAGTCACTGCTCTGTCCTTCTTCCTGGGCAGCCTGG